AGTTTCAGAAAACTCTTGCCATTTCTAGATGGTAGGAAATTACAAAATTCGTTGGATAAATCGTATAGAATTAAAATATTCATGGCGTTTGGGTTTATCAGGCCCCTTCTAGGGTTCCCGTAACATCTTCAGGCAGCTAATTAGCGCGTGAACAAGCTGTTGAACGAGAAACGTAATACGGACCTCACGTGACTATAAGAGCAAACGGAATTCTAACTCGATGCTATTGAAGTAATTGTAGAATGGCATGCACCAAGATTCGATATGCACCCACGTCATAAGGACCACCCGCCGATGCGTCCGAAAAATTATTTCTGAAACTGTACTAAAAGCAACATTTCCAATCCTTCTCAAATTTTAACAACTCGAACAAAGTCCCATCGTATAAATCTAAACGGAATGAATAATTTTGCTGAAGTATATCTAAAAATTTAGATATAAATCTGAAAATAGTTTTATTTTTAGAAATATAGATCCGAAAATAATTTTATTTTGATTATCAAAATAATTATGTGAGACGCTCAAATTGATTATTAAAATGTTAAAACCTTTTGTAACATTGTTAGTAACGCTTAAGTTTCTAATGTTTAGTTTGATAATCTAAAATTATTTTCAGATTTGTAACTAAGTTTTTAGACTTTAGCAAAAAACCATTTTTTCTACCCAAGTATATCTTATTACATTGGAAGGACAATTTTTGTATCTTTTCCCTCAAAGATCATAGTTTGTCAAGAGTGATTTCATTACCAAATATCGTATTTGAATCTCGACTGTACTGATTAAAGATTGATCGTTCAACTATTTCCGGATTACTACAAAGTACTATTTCGCTTCTGATCAATCAATCGTGTAACGTCCTTGTAAGCTTATGTTAATTGTACTATACGGTGCGTAGCTCTTAAACTCAGTTTCATTGCGCGGATGATGATTGTCGGCTCGATCAGACTCCTCGATATTCATGTCTGCTCAGCGGGGTGCCCTTACGTCGCGTTATACAGGGGCAGCCGAAAACGTCGCAACCAGGAGAAGACCTAACGACTAAGTTTTCTTTTCACAGCTCCTTCTAGTTCTTATATTTGTATTTTTTGCATCTTTATTTTATCCTTCTTGACGTGGGTTAACGCGCTGGCAGTAGCACACATTTAAAATCAACGACGATTAGTCGAAAAAAAAAAAACGTTCTTGATTTAAGTGACTGGTTACAAAAAAGAAAAAGGAGAAGAGAGGGAAGAATCCTCGGCGACCATGTTCCATCTTCCGGCGATCGAATCTCGCATATCTCGTCGATCCTCGAACGAGAGGCTGGAGAGAGGGAGAGGAAGATAGGAATAATCGTGACAATGGGATAATCGCGACACCGCGATGTAATTTCCAACGTTAAAATTAATAATGAATGTCACATTAAATTAGTTAAAATTTTTTATGAATATTAAATTCAAAATAGATATTTTTACTGTTGTCATTGGAAAATCCTGCGTAGCTACAATTATCCTATTGTCAATTTACCTTACCACGTAGAATAAATTACACTTGTAAAGTAAATTTTTCCGATCTTTGAGTGGCTTCGACGTTTCGAGGAAGACACGGTCAAAGAAACGGATAAAGCCGAAGAAGGGAACGATAGTGGGATAAATAAAGTAACGTAGATAACGAGATCCGACAATTTAAGTACATTCCTTCATTCTGGATAAGAGGTATTCTCTCTTTGCGGGAAAATGGAACGTGGAGAACCAGCGGAAATCAGAACCGACATAAATTCCGTCGGCTCGAATTTTCCGACGCTGCTATGACAAGGGAAAATACATCTCGCATCGCGTTGTAGCGATCAAAAGAACAAAATAATAAAATAGCGTCGGAATTTAAGCCTATCGAGATTGTGCGTCGATTTCCATCCAAGCAGAGCAAGTCGTGATAACGTCAAAGTGACATTAAAATAAATCGTAAATGATTGACTTTTGGTAATCATTTTGAAGTCATTTTGACGTTATGTTAATATCATGGAGTGCTTTCGAATTGCTTGTCACATCTCTTAACATGAACGTATACAGGAATGCACAAAGTGTAACAACTCAATTGGAACAAAATGTATACGCTGTGCAACGTTTTGAATAGAGTTAGATTAAATGTAGCTTTTTCCGCATTGAATGGAAAAAAGTAAAAGGCCGGCCACTCAACTTTATTTATAGCCGCAATTAATAACGCTGTCACTATTGATTGTCACTAAAAACATAAGCTTACACAGCCGACTAATAGCTTTCAGGCTGAATACGGATGTATAGTATTGTTTCGACGATTACGGCAATTGGAACGCAACACGGAAAAAAAATAGATTTAGATGATTTTCAGCGAAGCTTATTATATTAACGAATTTACTGTGCTATTACAACAAATATAATTCTCATTTTATTCAACTGTACAACTTTGTTACTTTAACATAGAAAACTAGCAGTCCGTATATTACAGCTGTAGATTTGCTGAATCGGTAAAGTTTTCAGTTGTTTCAACAAATCCTTTTTTTTTTCCGTGAAGGTGTACACGAAAGTGTCCAGTGATTTTACAATTGGAAAGCACCCGCGGTGATTTGTCTGCTCTGCTCGAACATCATCCCGGGGCCACGAAAACTCACGGCGGTGGCGATTCCCTGGAATGCCGATCGACGACGAATTTCGGTCGACGCGTTCATTGGGGAAGGCGCGCTCGCAGCCCTTCCCTGGCACAGGGACTCCCTCGACTTTAAGTTACAAGATTTATAAATAAAAAGAGAAGCGCGCGCGACGAGTTGAGTAAAATTAAATTAACTTACATTACAATATCAAGAGCGAGAAGCTCCTCCGTCTCTCCGTCCGTAACGACATCGTCGTACGTTGTTGTCACGTATATATTTATTCGCCGCTCGATCACACTCGACGCTGTCGCTCGGCAAAGAAGAATATTGGTAACGAACCGTCCTATGTATATAGTTCGCGGTCACATCATTATTTTTCTCATCATACGTTCAGCTAAACAACTTTTTTTTCCTCTTACTTATTTCTCTTATTTCTTCTTTTTCACTCGAACGAGAAAAGTGGGGACGGGATTCTCTGTCGGACGACGATTCCCAACGCTCTGAGCCCCCGCGATTCGTCTCGAGCAGTCGAGAGAGAGAAAGAGAAAGAGAAAAGGATAGAAAGAAAGACATTGAGGCCCTATCCGCCAGAATCGCCGACGGAATTCGGTTCTTCGAGATAGACAAGAAGAGACACACAGACAAGAGAAAAAGAGAAAGAGACAGAGGGGATGAATGAATGTTTTCACAGAACGCGAGGGAGACACGCCGAGAAGAGAGGATTCGAAGCGGGGCCGGATGTACTGTGAAGCGGCCTACTTGGATCATACATTTAGAATTTATTTTTTTTTTTAACTAGAAATAGTCAGTTACTCCTCTTTAAGACATTCATTTTTCTTAATGACACACTTAGAAGCTATAAATTAAGGATAGTTTACGTTATTAAAATCTAATATATCTCTGAAATGCGTAAGATATATCAAAGTACATAAAAAAATAATATTTCCGAAATTTATAAGTTTAAGAAAAATAGTAAGAATCTTTATAAAAATTAACTGTGCGATTAAAATTGGGCGTTTTTTAAAAATCGAAATTTATGAAAAATATACTTCTCGAATGTCTTGCATTTGGCTTCAGCTTGCTAATTAATCTTGATTTTCTGCTTGACCAGCGACACGTAGAACCAGGCCCGCTCACGAGAGTGACGGTTGATGAAGTTGTGAAGATAGAGGAGATCGAGGCGTGATGGTGAAGATGTAAGTACATTCAGCCTCGAGTCGCGTATACGTTTCCTGACGTCGCATATACGCGAGAAGATTCGTGGTAAGTGGACCTTCTCGGATACCTTTCGATTGTCGATCGCGAGCGAGCGATTACTATCGCTCGAAGCGGCGCCGAAACGCGCGTCTTTTATCCCCCAGACGGGAGCGGAAGGTAGTTTCTCTTCTTTGTTAGTCGCACTCGCGAAGGGCAGTTAGAAGTGTTAATTCGCGAGAATTTATCTCTGTCGAGGTAGATTGTCACCGGTAGCGTCATCATTGTCGTCCTCGATAATCCATTGGATCGTCATCGGTCACATCACGCAGTCATCGAACGAACAGTCATTCACATTCAATCCCAAACAGGCAAGCAAACGAATGACGGGGGTGATCACTGCTGACCGTCAAATTGGCGAACATAAGTGTGAAAAGTTTCTTCCTGAAGAAATACTACATACAAATCGATTTTTCGGATACTTTTTTCAGTTATACAATTTAGAAAAAGTTATTTTTTATATATTTATGGGATACATAATCTAATTTTTTAATAACACTTTTATTGTTCAAAAATAGTGTTTTTTGTCATAAGAGAGAAAATACACCATTTTTTATTCTATAGAATTTTTTTCTGTAAAAGATACACTATAATACATAAAGAGTTAAGCAAGGCTAACTTTTCGTTATTTTATCACCAATTATTGGTCAGTAGTAAAAATAGGTAGATAGATAAATAAGTAAACGGTTGTACGAGGTCGGTTGATAAGCGGACAAGCACTTAAGCGCTGTCTACGTTTGTCAAGTATACGGATAAAATACTATTTTCATGTACGTACATCGTCATCCCTCCGAGATAATCGATTTGGTCATTTAATATATAATATCAGACTTTACACGGGCTGCGACAGCTTGCTATTTATTGAAACCGATTCAACGAAACATACACAAAATTTTTATTTAGAAAAACTCTTAGAAAAATTAATCCCGTTTACTAATATCTTGAGGTGGCATTTGGAAACGTTTCTATTTCTACTAACTACATTATTGACTATATCTCTTTTATACATTGATATTTATATTTCTTATGTAAAAGTTAGTATTCTAGAATTTTTTAACTTTTCAATAATTATATCCTTTATACTGAAAGATTTCGTTTTTATTATTTTCTTTATTCTTATAATAGTTTATATATTCGCTTGGTCTTTTACTAAATAAAAAACGTTACTACTTCTAATGTTAAATACTTGAGACGAAAATCTCTTGTCAAATGATGTAATGAAAAATGTAATTAAATATCATGGCGTAACTAATTAATGAACTGTTTTCGGGATGTTTGGAAGTATTTCGCAAGTTACGCGGCAAAAGTGATACATCAAAATTATATTTCGTTATTTTTTTTTACAGCAGATAATCGCGTCGCAGCCCGTATCATCGTCATTCAATGAACGATGGAACTCCGGAACGTTACCCTAAAATGCGAAAATAGTACTTTCACCAATGAACACAGAGTCGGGGTACGGGAAAAAAAGCAATAGAAAGCGGGATCCCTGTATATCATCTGATATAGTGTACAGCCCATGCACGAAAACGTGCCATTCGCAAACCGTCGCGATATTCGCGGAGCAAAATCTCTCTCCATTTTGGCAACCATTTCTTCCTTGCTTTCTCACCGACCGCAGTCTCGTCCGCTTTAAGTACTTAGTACAGCATTCTCGATTTTAGCGAGAGTACGTGATTTGCGAATGTCGCGCTTTATTCGTGTGGGTAGGCATTATCCTCCAAATTGGCGCGTTTCGACCCCTTTGAGATCAGATCAGGTCCGCCGTCCCCATTGAGCGAGTGGTAAAAATTTTTTTTATCGGAGAGGCAGAGAGGGGCGACGGAAGAGAGAAAGAATCAAGGGGGACAGAGAACTCGGCGAAACGAGCAAGATCGTTCGGTAAGTACACTCCCGGAAAGAGAGATGGTGGAAAAATAGAGATGAATGATGACGTATCTTGAAAGTAGAGAAGAAGTAGAGGGAACGCGTGAAACGAGAGTGTGTCCATATCACTTACATGGACGATGATACCCTCGCTTTATCGATCGAATGAGACGAGATCGCAGGATCGAGCGAGATCTCACGATGGATATGAGAGCGAGAGATTACAGGGATAGAATATGTACAAGTCCCTCTACATAGTAGAGGGAGAGAAGAATGACAGGCGAAGGAAATGAAACAAAGGATATCAAATTAAAGGACAGACAAACAGCAAGAAACGGCAAGGGGAATGAGGTTAAATGATAAAGCTCTAAGTCGCAAATAGACGGTGAACAAAGAATATGTAGAAGGATGGAAGGAGGTTGTGGAATGAGACGATACATAGAGAAGAGAGAAAAAGTCTTTAGATGCTGGTCTCGTGCACGAGCTTGGTCAGCTCCGGTAGGACCAAGTTGTTGGAACTCAGAAGCAGGGAATTCCCAGTGTTGTCTCTATTGCTGCTCATCGGCGCCATGTGGTTGGGACTCAGGGGTTGATTAGGGGCGTTACTAGAGGGGGATCTATTGTCGGTGATGGTATTGGTGATGGTGTAATGATGATTGTACGCGTTGGCCGGCCCGGTCACGCTCAGCAACAACGGTGAGGCGGGGCTGTTGAGGGACTGTTGCATCCTGGAGGATCCTCTGTAGTTTGTCTCGTAATCCTGACTCATCGGCTCGGCACTCCTATTAGAGGACTTGTTGTAGGCGGCGTTCTGCGCGGTGGTGGTGGTGGTGGTGGTGTTTGTCGGGTCTTCGTCAATGTATGTGAAGTCAGAGAGTGGTCGGGGCCCGGTGTGGCTGCGTGAACTGCGCATACTGTGTAAGCTGTGTAAACTATGGACAGAGCGACGCTCCTCCAGATCTTCCAGAGTCGACTTGAACGCTCTGATTACTCGAAGCTGCAAAAACAGGGAAGGACGTTCTATCAGGAAGCGAGGAGGCAAGCCAGCAACACACAAGCACGCCGTATATTCGTATTTTTTTTCTTTTTTTTTCGCGCAGAGGTGTGTTACGATATGTCCCCCTTTTAACTTTATTGAGTGTCCCCTGAGTGTCGGCGTACTTCTGGTCTTGTCGTTGTTCTGGTAGCTGTAGTCGTGTTTTTATGATTATACAGAGATGTGCGTTTTTTTTTATTTTAATTTTAATTTTTTTAGAATAACCACGAATGTGTTTATCTCTCCTTTTTCTTTTTGTCCGTGACATGAGTTCCTTCGCCTGTCGACTTGGTTGCATTTCACCCGAATTCGTAAGTTAAACATCGGGGGCAAAACTGAGCTAAACGGGAGGGATATTGTTAGAGTATGTCGAAGGGACTTCAAATCCCTCACGATTTCGCTGTACCATCGAATAATGCAAGCTAGAATTATACGGACTCAGTTACCGTCATCACATGCGCAATCTACGTCAATTTTATGCGTACCTACCTACCGCACGACGATTTGTGGGATTTCGTGATGAAGTTCGTGATCGGGGAACCAACACGACCGAATGCGGACAACACGCGAACGTCCTTGTAGATGACAGAGCCTCCCTTCGTCACCTCGAGGGTGTTAGGGACGCTAATAACGAGCGTCATTATCCCTTGCGATCTAGGTTTGACCGGGAGCGATCGCAAATGAGAACGAAACAACAAGATATGAGATTTGTTCTTTTTAACTCAACTTCTTGCACAGTTCATCTTTTCTCTTTTTCTTTCCAACGTGGAGCAAAAGAAAAAGAGAAAAGATAAATTGTGTAAGAAGTTCAACTAACAAGAACAGGCCCATAGTAATAGCGGACGGAGCCAAAAGGATCATTAAAAATACAAATAAGCAGCAAAGCAAATTATATTCTATCAAACTTGAACTGAAAATCGTAAGTTTCATTCAAAAATATATTATTAAACACCAAGATTTGTTTAACTAAATATGGCTGTCTTCGCTTATTTGTGTTGGTTATCTCTCGGTCAATTGTTACTTACTATTATTTAAAAATATTTCAATATTTTTTATTCTTCTTTATTGACTAATGTCCGATTTTAATCCGGGAATGGCCACCTGGGATATTTTTATATCCTAGAGGTGAAAAAATTGTTATAAAATATTGTTTTGGATATTGTTTAACATTTTTTTTTTCTTTAGTAACTATCTATTTAAATATGCAATTTCATCAAAAGCTCGCAATAAAAAAAGCGCCATACAAATTAAAATCTTTATTTTTTAGAAATATTGTCATAATAAGCTATTTAACGTGCTTTTCCTGTTAAAAAAGGTTTCTACTTTTTTCAGAAAATTGTAATTAAATCTATTATATCTATAATGTTCTCAAATACTAATAAATTCAAAATCAATAATATATGTTAATAATTACGTTATACAATCTACGTTGTTAATAGTGATTTTAATTGGGACATAAAAACATCACGTAATCATTTATGTCAAAAAAATCAGGTGACTATTTCCAAGTTAAGAATATCGGTTAATGTTAGTAATACTAGGTTTAATTCTAATTCATGGTTCTAAGAAAAAATAATAAAACACTTCAACCAAATTTAAAATCAAATCAATGAAAATGATTTCACAAGTAGAACGAAATAACGGAATATTCATTAGAAAGTCTCTTGCGTAAATTATTATACTTTTTAGAAGATTACTGTTCTTACCTTTGTTCCAATTAACTCGACGATACATACATATTTGTAAAAAATACATCAAAAAAATATACAATCAAAATAATTGAAATTATTCGCAAAATGCAACCTAGTACAAGTCTAATATCTTTTTCTCTACGTCATCAAGATCTGTATCAGGTTGCATTTCGTTTTCTACAATTAAAAAAATGTGTCTGGTTGCATTAATTGGAATTTTGGTTCAAAATGGACAAATCTAAATTTTCTGGTTGAATCTATTCTAGTGGAGATAACCAGAATTCTGATCGATATGATCGGAATTCTGATTCGTCCATTTTTAACCAGAAATTTTTCTCGGTAAATCGTCATCTGAATAACAATCGATATAGATCGAAGATCGTAATAAAAAAAAAAAAAGAAATAAATCAACGACAGCCACCCTCTCATTAGCGATCGCTCCGCGACTCATTTCGACGCCAAAGGGAAACGAGCAGAGCTTCGCGATTACGGGGGTGTCAACGCGAGTCGAAAATAGTTTCGTAATAGTTACCCAATTAGGAATGGTCCGCAACAGTCCTGAACCGTTCGCGAGCGAATTTGCCGAAGCATTCGCACGCTTGTAACCGCTCCTCTACGGCTTGGAGTGTCAACAGAGTATATAATAGGGGTAAGACAGAAGCTTCAGACAGAGACAGACATAGTGTGGTTTTGGTGATGTTGGTGTAGTACGAATAACAGTTAGTAAAGCGAAGGAGCACTAACGGAGATTAAGAATATAATGCACGTTCGTGACAGAGAGAGAGACAGGGTGGGTCAGTTGCTTTTCCTACGTTATAAGTAATCTTCGCGGTAGTAGTAGCTTCACGCATGGTAGCCAGTTTCGATACACTGTGTGCGGTTTCAACACTTAACGTTTTCTCTACGTAACTACGCAAGTCTCATATGCTGTGATCAGACATGTTCTCTTGCTAAAGATTCGGAGAGACAATTCAGAGCGGGTTGAAACGGTCTCTCCGGTCGTTTTGTTGTAGGAGGTTCGTGTTTCAGACGTTCGAGTGTCCGTGAGAGAGAAAAAAAATTGTGGTCAACGCCAGATCAGACAGGACATTCGAGATAACAAAAGTTCCTTTCGAAGAAGTGGAATGTAAGAAACTAGAGTGAAAAGAAACGCGAAAAATCTCAATGAGATTATTATCACTGATTTAAATAATGAAGAGATTTTTCTTCTCTCGCGTCTCTTTGCCTCGAATATGCTCGATCTGGCTCTGACCTTACCAACGCTCGATGCGCGAAGAAGCATCTCTCTTCTCGCGATCGGAGTCGCGATGCATGCTAACAATCGCGCTGTAATAATCGATTGAGATTCGTTTATCTTGTTTTTCTTTGTTCACAACAACACAGATCAAATAAGTGTAACGTGTTAAACCCTCTAATTGGCACTCGATACGAAACAACGGCGGTGTTAGACCTCGGGCAAACAGAAAATAAAGTCGATGCATAAATTGGCCAACCGTGCACACGCACACTCACACACTAACAAAAAGGGAACAGAAGGAAGGTAATGGGAGATTCAAATCGGATCGACGATTGTCCTCTTTACGAATTCGAGAGAAGACTAATTAATGAGAATCAAATTAGACACCTTGAATATCCTTGAGAAGTGCGTGTGTTACATTAACCCGCCAGAGCTAATGCCAAACTCTATAAAAGTTACTGTTAAGTTCCATTTAATTTGTTATTTAATCCGCTATCTGCAATCTGGGCTTTCTTTGTACATGCAAAATTGTACTCTCAAATTGCTCCGAAATAAAGGAGGACAGAGTCAGATTTTTAAATATCTTGTAATATCTATTTAGTAATATAATAGAGGTGTTAAAAAGTAACTCTAAATTTTTTCACGTTTTTTTGAAAAGCTAGAATTAAAAAACTTGGACTGGATAAAAAAAAACCAGATTGCAAATGGAGGATTAAAAGCACTACACTGCAAATCAAAGTGTGTAATAAATGCCTTCATATATATATATATGTGTGTGTGTGTGTATGTATGTATGATTGTGTTTTCTGTGTAAAAATAACACTTTATATTACTATCTAAAATTTTTAGAATGAATTATCACTCTAAAGAATGAAATCTTATTCTTAAAGATTGAGAATTGAACCACTCTTTTTCAAGACTCAATTTTCGCTCTTTAGAATGAGATTCCACTCCAAAAAATTTAAAGAGTATACCATACATTTAAATGTATAAATCTATTTTTGTGTACGTAGTCCAGTGTGTTATTTTTACACGCAGAATTAAATCACACACATGAAAAAGACACTTATAACATACTTTGACTTGCAATAAAATTAATTTTAGCGAACCAAAATGATACAACTCGTATAAAAAATGATACTAATTAATTAAAATATTTTAATAAAAATTATCCAAATTTGCAGATACAACATAAAGAAAATGTAATTGACATTTTTGGTAGAGATTATAATTGAGTGGATCCAGTGAATCTTACCATTAACTCCGGAGAGTTAAACTGAGAAAAAACCCTTTGACGTTTTGAATTTATCAATCGATCTTTCGCAAAAATTTTATGCGCAACGAATAAAAATTCCACGCAAAATGTCGAGTAACAATAATAAATAAAACACGCATTATCGAAATAGAGACAACAACCAATTTCGCTAATGGCTCGACTGAGAGATTGTTTTCCGGCTCACGTGTATATTTGATAACGTATATTGACTCGTGATTACATAGATTATAGAAACGGATTTAGGATCAAGGATACCGCCACGTGATAGAAGGACTGGTGCGCACGATGCAGCAATGCTACTTCATTCAAGTTTTGCAACCCTTCTTCCTACTTAATAACACAGCACACCATTGAGATCTACGACAACGTTACCTCAATACTCGAGGGTTACTACGACATCGACCACCGACCTAGAAAAAAGTTCAAAATCGACGCACAAGCCGTTTCCTGGCGTTCCTGCCGCGTCGAGAGGAGAGACCGATCAATGAATGGTAGAAGCGGAGAAAGCTAAGATTTTTGGTCGCTAGGTGTGTTTGGGAAAGAGGAGAAGAGGTAAGCATTTTAGTGTTACCATTCGCGTTGATAAAAATCGGTGATTTAGCACAATCTATCGTATCCATGAACAAGCCAATAATCTAACTGGTATTACTTAAAAAAAAAAAATAAAAATAAAAAAAGGAGAAAAATGTACGGTCGATCAGACGAGGAAGTGTACGAGTGACAATTTTATTGTATAGCTGGAATGATCTCGACGCGA